CTGACTTATTGCACTCTGAATTCTTCAGCTTTATAGATTATCCAATTCTATAAATGCAGTATGTATTTATAGAAATTTCACTCAGAAATTTGAATTTTCATTATTTCTCCAGCTAGTTGGAATATGTATTGTGTTAATAACTGTCATTTATTGCTTAGGTTTTTTGAAAGGAGACTCTGGGAGTAAAGAGGGCTTTCTAGTTCCAGACTGCAGCAGGTTTATTTCAAGAGTGCTCCAAAACTTCCTGTCTCAGGGAAGCTTGACTCCTAACTCTGTAATAGGGAGAAAGGAATCCAGTACCCTGCTAAAGGTATTTGCTACCTTTAGAAAAGCTACAAGGTAACCATTTTCAACTGAAGATTCTGTTGTTTATCTAGTACAACAAAAATGTCTGCAACGGGAATGAAGAGCTGGTAACTCAGCAATAGAGAGACTTTGGCATAACTGCCTCTTTCCCAGTGGATGTCTGCTGGGTTGTAAATGCGATTTGCTGATGTCTTGCTATCTGGTGCTTTTTATATGCTCCTTGGTGTTTGTTCTTTTACTTTACTTGCTGCATGTTTAACAGACTCATTTATTTGAAAGCAAAAGTATGGTACAAAACAGCACTATGTGGCACACATTATGGTAATCTGTTGTGATTCCAGGGGGCAGTACCAAGTTCGTTTCCTGTCAGCCTGTGGATAACTAAACCGCCAGTGCTCTACAGTGTTCTCTGTTGCTGAACTATGATGATTAAAGGTTTGATACAATAGTCAACTTATTGTGATGGATTCATTGTACATTAAGGAGAATCTATATAAGGATTTAATGCAAGTTTTCATGTAAACATTGCTTCTGAGATATAGACCAGCTTCATGAATCCCATAAATTTATGAATTACTTTTCATTTAGTTAGTATTTTGTAAAGATGTTTGTGATTTATGTTTTTGATACTAAAATTGCTTTTAAAAAGTGGCAGTTATGTTTAATAATTGAATTTGCATTGTATTAGTCAGGGGTTTCTAGAATAATAAAAATGATAAAATGAATCTATATCTATCATTTATCTTATTTATATACCTTTCATCATGATCATCCATTTATTGTCTATCATCTGTCCGTCCATATGTCTGTCTATCTATCTATCTATCTATCTATCTATCTATCACTGGGAGATTATTATAGTGACTTATAGGCTGTGATCCTGCTAGTTCAACAATGGCTATCTCCCAACAGAAAACTCAGTAATCCAGTAGTTGTTTAATCCATGAGACTGGTGATCTCATTTGGTCTTCAGTATACACTAGAATCCTGAAGAAGTAGCCAGTGGAGGAATGAAGAACTTATTAGTAAGAACAAGGGCAAGCAGGCAGAGTAAAATCTTCCTTCTTTCATGTTCTTTATATAGGCTGACACCAGAAGGTATAGCCCAGATTAAAGGTGGGTCTTCCTACTCAAAAGATCTGGATTAAAGTTGGGTCTTCCCACCCACTTCAGATGATTTAATAAAAAAAAAATCGCTCACAGGGTTTCTTGTTAATTTAGATGTAGTAGAGTTGACGGGATAGGTTCAGAGATGGTTTAGTGAGTAGAGCTGTTTATGCATAGGCTGATTACCTGGATCCCATAACGGGTCAGGAGAGAAGCACTCTAGAAGAGTTGTCCTTTGATTTTTGCAAACTTACCTGTGTTGGTGTGCTCTCTCATTCCTCCTGCCTTCTTCCATCTTCCTCCTTTTTTGAGTTCTCTCTCTCCATTTCCTCTACAATTAATAAATAACAAGTATTTGTTTGTTTGTTTGTTTGTTTTTGAAACAGAGTCTGTGAAGACTTGCTGGCTTAGAATTTTTTGTATAAACCAGTTGCCCTCGAACTCACAAAGATCCCCTTGCCTCTGCTTCTGGAGTGTTGGGATTAAAGAAGTGCACTACCATGACCAGCTCACAATAGGATATTTTTGAAAGAGATTTCTTTCATTGAATTTTACATTACTTTTATTGGTGGTTAAAGACTTGACTTATATGATTTCAAGCCCTTAAAATTTAGTGGGACTTATTTTATGACCCAGAATATCAGCTATTGTTGTAAATGCTTCTTGTGCCTTTTCTAGAAGTATTAAGTTGACTATAGTTCTTTGTCTGTCAATGAGATTTCCCTTTTCTGAGTTAGCATCCCTATTAACAATGTCACTGTTCAGGTCTTGTTTATTGAGGTACCATGGGTGAACAACTTCTCTCATTTCTAGAAAACATAATGTTACAGCTGTCTTTCTGGTCCTCTGGCTCTTAGAATTTTCTGCGCCTCTTTCTGGATGTTGCCCATGCCTTAGAGATAGGAGTTGTGTTGTAGGTCTATACATTGAGGCTGGGCTCCACATATCCCATGATCTCAGCGTTATGGCCTGTTATGTTTTTCTGAAAAGAAGAGCTTCTTTGATGAGGATTGAAAACTACACTTATCTGTAGGTATTAAGATAAGGTTTAGAATACAGTTGGGATTGTTGCTGGTCTAGTAAAGTGTTGGTTGTAGGTTCTTGTCTTAAGATCCATGAACTTACTAGCCCCTAGTAGTTGGCTAATTTACCAGTGACTGCTGACAGAGGGAGAATTAGTATTTCCAATAGGTGAATGGTTAGCCATGAAATCATATATACACACAAGTGACAGTAAGTGGCTCAGCAGGTTGTATTTACATATGTACAACAAAATAAAAAAGATGGGGAGAGAGGGAGTGAGAGGGAAAAGGTGAGAGGGAGGGAGGGGACATAGAAGGGGTTGGAGGGATGATATAGAAAGGTGGAAGTGATGTGATTATATTGTAGTTTAAAATGTAATAAAAATAAATATTGAATACTAGAAGCATAAAATGTTAAATGGCTATTTAGTGGGTTATATAAATTAGTTTGAATTGATACTTAAAGTTTTTTATGCCCTTATCTGTTTTCTGTGTTCTTGTTCAATTAATATGGAAAGGTATTGAAATGTTCAGCTTTAATTATGGCCTACTTTTTTTTTTAGTTATGTTAGTTCTTTCTGATTTTCTTCAGTGTCTTTTCTTGGTACAAACACATTTAAGATTGTTATACTCTTCTGGTGATTTACTCTTCATCATTACGGCGTTCATGTCTCTGATATCTTATGTATTTGCTTTTTTTTTTTTTACCTCCTTGAAGTGTACGTTTTAAAAAATAGTAATATGACAACTACAGTTTACATTTTAATTAGTGTCTATGTCATGTTTTTGACAACTTTTATGAGTATTGTGCAGCAAGTGTTGGCCTTGAACTCATGATTCTTCTTCCTCAAAGTCCTGAGACAGTATACCCTCTTTGCCTAGATCCAGGATATCATTAAATCCTCTTTTAGTAAAATTTGTCAGGGCTGGAGGAGAGAAGACACAGTATTTTGTTGCATGTGTTGTAACAATAAGAAAGCAAGAAGATCTCAAAACCTTAAAAATGGAAAAGATGAAAATTCTGTCAAAGGGGCACAGGAGACAGCCAAAGAATATATTATTTAACAAACAGTATAAATGCTGTAGTGTTGGGTTGTTAGTCAGAATATATACTAAATATCCTTTGATATTTAGGTCCATTGATATTTTAAAAAGTTGGAATAGTTATGAAAAGGGAGAGAGTGATGCCAACTTCCACACTGAAGAGTGACCAGTGATGTATGCCAGTATGGAAGAATGGCAAGTGATGTAGGCCAGTGTTTCTTACTTCAGAAGATAGAGCATGACTCCTTTGCTTTCACCCACAAGTTGGTGGGACTCAGTCACTTCTAAATATAGGCCATATAAAGGGAGACACTGATGCTGGTATGGAGCTGCCTACCAGACACCACCTTAGCCAGCTATTGAAGGGTCGTATCACCAGTGGTGTTCTGTGCATCTTATAGTCTACTTGATATGTAGTAAGGACTGTAGTTATCTCTGTGATATTTCTTCAAAAGACTATGACACTGGAGGAGGGAGGCAGACATGATCCCTTTAGAGAAAATAGTAGTTATACTCAAATCAAAAGTAGTTCTGGTAAAATAATAGTTTTTGTGCAGTGTCCTAAGTGGACAAATACACTGTGGTGATATAGTTTGGTGATATTAGGTGAAACTGGGCTAAGGGACCCAGGCACCAAAATTGTTCACAAAATAAAATTTAAATTTTTGCTTTTTAAGAAGCAGCTTAGCTGGGCGGTGGTGGCGCACGCCTTTAATCCCAGCACTTGGGAGGCAGAGGCAGGCGGATTTCTGAGTTCGAGGCCAGCCTGGTCTACAGAGTGAGTTCCAGGACAGCCAGGGCTACACAGAGAAACCCTGTCTCGGAAAAAAAAAGAAGCAGCTTACTGGCCTTTTGTTGTTGTTTTGTTTTGAGACAAAGTTTCCTTATGTAGTCTTGGCTGGCCTGGAACCCACTTTGTAGACCAGGCTGGCCTTAAACTTCCTACTGCCTTCCTAGTGCTGCGATTAAAACCTGACCTTTCTTGATATGTGAAATTCAGTATTGTGAGAATTAGAAACAAAATATTTTAGTATCAACCAGACATTTCTAGTCAAAATGTCTCATTTTAATATTACACATAAAATGGAATAATATATAATAATAATATCACTTTTATATTTACAATTGGTAAATGCGTTTTTTTATTTATAATTCATAACTGATTTTTGTATAAAATTTAGTGGTCTTTGAAATGTCATATTAATATCTGAAGCTTTGAAAGCGTAGATTAAGGTTAATGAGGTAGAAACAAATAGCTGTTTTGAAGGAGAAGGTTAATCATTTAAGTAGGTTATTTTGAGAATCTGAGTGTGATTGTTTGGGGGATTATGATTTGGAAAGGACTTACGTTGATACTGTATTAGATCAAAATGCTGAGTTAAAAATAGTGTTTTTGGAACTTAAAATTTAGTACAGATGAAATTAATCTACTAGAATAAAAGAATAAAGTCTTCATTTATATTAATTATGAACAATGATCCCGAGTCAGTTTCATATCAGTCCATATGACTTCTTTTCTAGATTTGCTGTCCAGGATCGATTTGGATGAACTCATGAAAAAGGACGAACCACCCTTTGATTTTCCAGATACACTGGAAGGTTTTGAATATGCTTTTAATGAAAGTAAGTGGATACATTTGACACACATATATGAGTATGTGTAGTTTGCTTTTCAGGATTTATAGAATTGTAGGAAATATATTAGCTACTCTTACAAGTCTAACTAGAATGTCTTGTCTCTGAGAGACAATGACTTATCTTTGCCTAGTGAAATCCTTCACACAAATCAAAGAATCAACAAGGAACAGTTTTCTATAGTTGACAAGTCACATAAACTGAAGGACATGAATTTGAGCATTCTACTCTGACCTAACTGGAGACTCCTAGTTGAATTATTTAGGAAGGTATATTCTTTAAGTCGCTATCTAAATGAGGTGACTGGCTGTACCCTTATTTTTAATAATGAGTTCCATTATTTTTCAGGAACCTATTTGTTTAAATCTTTTAAAAGTTTGGAATAAAATAACTTTTATACCAGAGGTGTTGAAAAGGGCATGCCTCCAGCTTACACTGTTAAATTTGCAAGCCTTGCTGTTATGGGCAGAGAGCATGATATCATCATTTCCATCTGTTACTTTATAGTTACTGAATTGGTGACCGTTCATCACTGTGTGAGTGAGTCCCCCGTACACTGTCACATATGGATAGACTTAAACAGTCAGTGAATTTATAGAGAAGGTAGTAGAAACATTGGTCATTTTTCAGATTTTTTAAAAGAATATTTTATGATAAAACATATATAAATAGTAATATTTTGTTGCCTGTTGTGGAGAAATGGTTAAAGCAATTGGCTATGTGCTGTTTTTCTTCTGATTACTAGAATCTTCCTGGAGAAAGAAACAGGGCAGATGTTCTGTCTTTTTTCATTGTAAATAGTCTGATAATTAAACCTTTTGTAAATAGAAACTTTAGTTTGCCAGGAGGAGAATCTTTTGTGGGATACTGTGATCTAGATGGTTGATTTAGCAATGTTCATGGTAAATAAACTTACTTTTTGTTATATGAGGCATGTTTCCATGAAGACTAGCACACAGTGCTCTAATTCACTATCATATAGAATGGGAGTATTATGACCACAGTGTTTATTGGTATGTGAGGAGCCCTGTATGCCTTATCTGACCCTTCCTTGCTCTGGCTCAGATAATTTAATTTAGTAAATTAGAAATATGGGAAGAAGGGTAGCAAGGACTTCTTGGTATCAACTACAACTTGTTGCCAGGCCCTGAAATTGTTAGTAAAACCTATTAATAATTGTCAAGGAAACCCTGTGGTGTGAGTGAGTTGATTGGATAAACTGATGTTAGCTTCCTCCTCCTTTTGAGTCTCCATTGACATTCTATTTTAGGTGTCAAAGTTATCTCTGGTAGAAAACAGTTACTCAAACTTCCAATGCGTCTAGGTAGCCCCACAGTATGTTACTAGGTTCCCACATCATTCTTGACCATGTTGTCTTTATACAACATGATGCCAGCTCTCCATTGCTGAATGTCATTGATTCTTGTCTAATGTTCTGAAAAATGGCTTAGAGTTTCAACATTTGTAGTCCCAGGTAGCCTCAGTCTTCAATACTGTGGCCACTCTCATAACATTATCTGGTAGGAGTTCTTTTTCCTACTGGCCTTAGAGTAGTTTCAGTTTACCTTAAAATATTGAGATGAATATCAAGGATAGCTTATAAATTCCCAGGGACCAGTCATTTATATTCTTAATAGGTTTATTGACATTTGAAGATATAGTGTTATGAAAAAAGCAAATACTTAAGAAATTTAAAATTTTTATAAGACATTATTTATTAGAACATCCATAGTATTAAAAATATACCCTAAATCATTGGAATATTGCTTGTTGTCTTTTAGAGGGGCAGTTAAGACACATAAAAACTGGGGAACCATTTGTTTTTAACTACCGAGAAGACTTACACAGGTGGAACCAGAAAAGATATGAAGCTCTGGGCGAGGTATGTCAAGTATATTGCTCTACTGCCTTCATTTTTCAATTGAAGTATGAAGTATGCCATGGATATTGTTTTACTGAATTTTCTAGTTTGAAGTACCAGGAGTAATATGTAGCAGTTCACATGGTCCTTTTATGAAATGTGATTTTTTTTATTGGATATTTTATTTACATTTTAGATGTTATCCCTTTTCCCCATTTCTGCCCCCCGCCAGGAACCCACATCTTATCCCCCCTCCTCCTGCTTCTATGAGGATGTGCCCCCACCCTCCCACCCACTCCTACCTCCCTACCCTCGAATTCCCCACACTGGGTGTCCAGCCTTTATGGAAACAAGGATCTCCTCTCCCACCTATGCCTGACAGGGCCATCCTCCTCTATATATACAGCTGGGGCCATGGGTCCCTCCCTATGTGCTCCAGGCTAGTGGTTTAGACCCTGGGAGCTCTGGTTGGTTGGTTGGTATTGTTGCTCTCCCCACTGGGCCACAAACCTTTTCAGCTCCTTCAGCTCCTTCTCTCTATCTCCTCCATTGGGAACCCCATGATCAGTGGTCTACCTTTGGTGACTGCACATGGAATAGATACCCAGGAGGAACAGTCTCCAGATGACCCCTCCGTCAGTTTCTGCCCCACACTTTGTCTCCATATTTGTTCCCATGAGTATATTGTTACTCCTGAGAAGGACAGAAGCACCCACACTTTGGTCTTTCTTCTTCATGAGCTTCATGTTGTCTGTGAGTTGTATCTTGGGTATTGCCAGCTTCTGGGCTAGTATCAAATTATCTGTGAGTGAATACCATGTGTGTTCTTTTGTGATTGAGTTACCTCACTCTGGATGATATTTTCTAGTTCCATCCATTTGCCTAAGAATTTCTCAAATTCATTGTTTTTAATAGCTGAGTAGTACTCCATTGTGTAAATGTACCACATTTTCTGTATGCATTCCTCTGTTGAAGGACATCTGGGTTCTTTCTAGCTTCTGGCTATTATAAATAAGGCTCCTATGAACATAATGGAACATATGTCCTTGTTATATGTTGGAACATCTTCTGTATATATGCCCAGGTACAGCTGGGTCCTCAGGTGATGCTATGTCCAATTTTCTGAAAAACTGCCAGACTGATTTCCAGAGTGGTTGCACCAGCTTGGAATCCCACCAACAATGGAGGAGTATTCCTCTTTCTCCACATCCTTGCTGGCATCTGCTGTCACCTGAGTTTTTGATCTTAGCCATTCTGACTGGTATGAGGTGGATCCAGGGTTGTTTTGATTTGCATTTCCCTAATGACTAAGGATGCTGAACATTTCTTTAGGTGCTTCACAACCATTTGAATTTCCTCAGTTGAGAATTCTTTGTTTAGCTCTGTACCCCGTTTTTAAATAGGATTATTTGGTTGTCTGAAGTCTAAGTTCTTGAGTTATTTGTATATATTGGATATTAGTCCTCTAACAGATGTAGCATTGGAAAAGATCTTTTCCCAATTTGTTGGTTGCTATTTTGTCCTATTGACAGTGTCCTTTGCTTTACAGAAGCTTTGCAATTTTATGAAGTCCTATTTGTCAATTCTGGATCTTAGAGCATAAGCCATTGGTGTTCTGTTCAGGAACCTTTCCCCCATGCCCCAGTATTGGAGGTTCTTCCCCACCTTTTCTTCTATTAGTTTCAGTGTATCTGGTTTTATGTGGAGGTCCTTTATCCACTTGGACTTGAGCTTTGTACAAGGGGATAAGAATGGATCAATTTTCATTCTTCTACATGTTGTCTTCCAGTTGAACCAGCACCATTTGTTGAAAATGCTGTCCTTTTTCCACTGGACAGTTTTAGCTCCTTTGTCAAAGATCAAGTGACCATAGGAGTGTGGGTTCATTTCTGGGTCTTCAATTCTATTCCATTGATCTTCCTGTCTGTCTCTGTACCAATACCAGGTAGTTTTTTTTATCACTATTGCTCTGTAGTACAGCTTGAGGTAAGGGATGGGGATTCCTCCAGAAGTTCTTTTATTGTTGAGAATAGCTTTTGCTATCTTGGGTTTTTTGTTATTCCAAATGACTTTGAGAATTTCTCTTTCTAACTCTGTGAAGAATTGAGTTGGGATTTTAATGGGGATTGCATTGAATCTGTAGATTGCTTTTGGCAAGATGGCCATTTTTACTATATTAATCCTGCCAATCCATGAGCATGGGAGATCTTTCCATCTTCTGAGATCTTCTTTGATTTTTTTTCTTCAGAGTCTTGAAGTTCTTGTCATACACATCTTTCACTTGCTTGGTTAGATTCACACCAAGGTATTTTATATTATTTGTGACTATTGTGAAGGGTGTCATTTCCCTAATTTCTTTTTCAGCCTGTTCATCTTCTGAGTAGTGGAAGGCTACTGATTTGTTTGAGTTGATTTTTATAACCAGCCACTTTGCTGAAGTTGTTTTTCTGTTTTAGGAGTTCTCTGGTGGAAGTTTTGGGGTCACTTAAGTATACTATCATATCATCTGCAAATAGTAATATTTTGACTTCTTCCTTTCCTACTTGTATCCCTTTGACTTTATTTTGTTGTCTAATTGCTCTGAATAGGACTTTGAGTACTATATTGAATAGGTAGGGAGAGAGTGGGCAGCCTTGTCTAGTCCCTGATTTTAGTGGGATTGCTTCAAGTTTCTTTCCATTTAGTTTGATGTTGGCTACTGGCTTGCTGTATATTGCTTTTACTATGTTTAGGCATGGGCATGAAATGTGATTTTTTAAATGCTTTTTCTTCTTTGTATTCAGTAATTTCCCATCATTTACTAGAAACCTATTTAATCTTAAACCTTCTTTTATGTCAACATGGCCTTCATATGACTGTCCAGTGAGTCATTTACATGGGAAAACAAATTAACACCAAATTTTAATCTTTGTTTAAATATATTATAAAATTAAATGTTGGGTCTTCTATTGTGTCAGAAATGAGTATTATTTTTAGGTTTTTATTTATATGAAGGCTTATGACATTAGGACATTATATGAAGACTTAGTCACTAGGACAATGACATTGACTCTCTCTTACTTCATTTGTTTGGCCTTCTAAAATTAGGGATCTTATCATGGTATCTCCAGAGGAAACCTTTGAACATGCGTTTTTCATTTTGGTGGATGTTTATCACAGCTAAAGATTTCACTTATTCAGAATCATATACTCTTAGTAAAATATATATGGACACATTTGTTTAATATGTCACCTAGCAGCTCCTTTGTTTCTTAATGAAAAGCAGAAATTTCTTTATCTACATTGAATTTTTAATAAAGCAGTCAACATGCATTCTTTGGTCACATGGAGGATATTTGGTAACATGAAGAATTCAAATGCATTGAGACAGTTTTTCTGTGAGTCTAGCATTTTTACATGTCTGATCAAAAGTTTTGACCTTTTGTTCTGCATCTCTTTACATGAACAACTGGCTTTAAGGGTGCAGAGGGTTATGCCCTTTCCAGGGCATTATGCAGATTCATGTTGTAGTGGAGATAATAAAGACATCCCCTTTCTTTTCAGTGGTGGCCAGACGGCAGGCTTACTAGTGGACCTTTATAAATCCAGGCTTGCTAAGCTTGGGTTTCCTTAGATGCACAATTACCATGTGTGTTAAACCTTCAGCAGTCCTCTTTCCTCTCCAGCTTATTCAGGTTGTTTTTATTTTGAGTAGATATAATGGAATCACCTTCCCCTCTCCTTTCCTCCCTTCAGATTCTTACACGTATTCTCCCTTGCTCTTTTTCAAATTCACAATCTCTTATTCTTTTTTGTTACTACATAAATTTTTGAATATTCTTTATTATTTGTAACTTTACATGGATATGTATTCAGTGACCAGAATAATTTCTGCTTATGTTAAAGTGCTTGCCCATTTCTACTTGTATTATATATCGCAAACTGATGGTGTTTTTATTGTACCATAATAGTATTAGAGAAGTGCGCGTGCGTGCGTGCGTGCGTGCGTGCGTTTAAATGGCGCTTACATTTTACTCCTCTCTATAATCCAGTTCATCAGCTCCTTGACATATTATTCTACAAACATACCTTCTGGGTATTTTCTCATTTGTTTATATTCTTTTAAGACAATGTAGATCTTACTGTGTAGTCCAGGCTGACCTCAACCTCACAGTGTAGCCCAGGCTGCCCTTGAACTTGGAATCTTTTGGCTCAGCTTTCCTAGCATTTGTATTACAGGTATGCCTTACCATACTTGGCACAGACCTATATTTTATGTCCTTTATCATCCATATTAAAATGTACCTACTGGACTGGAAAGATTAGCAGGTTAAAGCATTTGCTCTCAAGTCTGATTATCTGAGTTTGATTCTTAGAATCCACATGATGGAGAGAACTGAGTCCTTCAAGTTGTCCTCTGACTTCCAAATACTCTTTTAGCAACACACACACACACACACACACACAATATATATATATATATATATATATATATCAAAATTTAGCTTTTCTCTTAAGTGCTCAAAAAACTCATTATTTCATTTTAAACTCATTCTTTAAGAATGTTTTCAAATTAAAATATAATTATGTAATTTTCTCCATTTTCTTCTCTATAACTTTTCTTATGTATCTCTCCCCTGATCGTTCTCAAATTCATGACCTCTGTTTCTTCAATTGTTGTTACATATACATGCAAATATGCAATACAAGCTAACCTGTAACATTTCTTATATCAATGTTTACTTTCCCTGGCTGTCCTGGAACTCACTCTGTAGACCAGGCTGGCTTCGAACTCCGAAATCTGCCTGCCTCTGCCTCCCAAGTGCTGGGATTAAAGGCATGCGCCACCTCTGCTGGCATATCAATGTTTACTTAAGTCATTAACAGATCACTTGGCTTCACATACCAGTCCATGTTTGATCCTAGAATGTTGACTGAAAGCAGACACTACTCATAGAATTCAATGAATTCATAGAATTCAGTATAACAGAATGGGAAAGAGAAAGTTTTCTCATTATGAGGTTTGTTCTATACCACTTTGC